TATATATATATATACCTAGCACTTTATATTTATATATGCATGTGAAAGCGTCGTTCATATTGTGCGAGAGTATGTGTGTATGGTTGCACGGCAGGGAGCTTGCGTGCAACCGCCCAAAGTAAAAAAGTTCTCTTATATGTTGTGAAGGGAATGGAGACGATCAGATCTATTATGAAATAATCCAAAAGACATACCGCCAGACGGCGTCAGTGGAGAGTGCATTGTGGCCATCATTTTTTGACGAACTTCTCGAATTTTCATTGTAAGTGTTTGTTTGTTCGGAAAGAACTGACGATGCTTATCTTGGAACGATGCAGTTGCTTGACCTGACATCAGCACACACGTTACAATAACAACCAATAACAACTAATAATAACAATAAAAGAATTAAAGTAACCTGATGGAAACATTCCATACTGCTCCAATAATTCCACCACCAACTGCCTTCTATGATCCAATAATTTTCTACTTGATGATTTCTCATTGCAGTTATTATTATTACTGTTATCATACGAAGTTTTTGCTGCTATATCGTAGTATGTATCCTGATTTTGGCTCATACTTGTATTACTGCTATCATTTACTTTAACCTATAATATTCACTTGAATGAATATACAATATTAATAATAATAATGTTAAATGAAACACAAATTAATTCACTGCTCACTGTGTTATCATGTAGCGCGGCCAAATTGAAATTCGGACCGAAAAAAAAAGATGACGATGTACTACTATTGGAGGATTCACGCTTTTGTTCAGCAGCAGCCATGCCGTCTGCAAATTACTTCCATATTAATAATAATAATAACAATTACTATGCACCGACCAGGTGTCATTTTAGGCGTATGCGGTGTGAGCATTGGTGAATAATAGTCGAAATACGCATAATGACTACTATCACTTTCGTAACAATTATCACTATTGCACACAACATTCTTCTGCTTTTCTAATATTGTTCGCAATACTGCTGATGGCGTTGACGGCAGAGAAGTGGTACCTTGAATATATATGATCATTGTTCTACTCATTCACTCTTACTACTACTACTACTATTACTGTTATCATCATTATTATAGCACTCCAATTCAAAGACTATACAAATCAGATAGAATTTCACCTTTATGAGGATCATCAGGTGTGAACGCAGGTAAACTAGCGAATTTCTTATCGAAATCGAGTTCATTCAAAACTCTGAAATCAATATGTAACTGCTGACCAAAGCAAGCCCGGCTTCAAATCAATGGCACATGGCACACACACACACAGCACTGCTGTTCAATGAACATATAAATGAACCTGTCCATGTGATCATCATTACGTTTGAACAACTTCGGTAGCTTAACGCTTGCAAACGCTTCATTCTCACAGAGTTGTTCCCTGTTGTGTGCACTCTCTTCAATTGTATTTCTTTTCTCTTGAAATTGCATTGTTTTATTAGACAACAACACAGCTATGCATCCCAGAGAGCAGGCAAATACTGCATACACAAATAAATGGCATATTTCCTTGTGCTCTCGGTGTGCATAAATGATACGAATATTATAAACAAAATACAAACCATTATTCACATCCATATTCGTACTATTATTATTAATATCATCATAATTATTGTTGATATTATTCATTGAACGTCTGCGCTGTTGTCCTTTAGCTAAACCACGCTGAGCTGGTGTAGGCATGAGGATGAAGCGTTTTTGCATGCAAGATTGCATGTGATGATCAGTATGCATCAATAGTTTGGTAGCAGTCGGTGGTTGAGCTTGTAATGACTGAGATGAACTGTCGTTGGCTAGCGACGCACTTTTGGGGCTGAATACGTGTGCTTATCAACTAGAGAACAAGTGATAAAGAGGAATATGACAGACCTCAGTGCCGCATCATATAAAGAAGGCTTATTATGAGGTGCGACTGCATGACCGTATGCATCATTCGTTAATACATCACCGTTGCTGCTTTTGGAGCACCGAGACTGCAGCTGTAGCTGAATAAATTTGATTGAAACGCATTATGAGAAGAATATTCGGCGTACAATTCAGAACACACCTTCTTTCACTTTATTTCCATCAACCAAAAACAAAGCATTGCGTTTCGACCTCATACGAATGGAAAGAGTGAGCAAACACACAGAAATAAAGAAAATAGCTATCAGGATATGAATTCTGAAAGGTTTCAGAGAATTTTTTTTCGATTTATCACAATTACAGGCAAGATCTTCCCCAACACTACCTACAGTCCAAATATGAGACCTAGATCTCAAGCGGCTGCTTAGATATGGCCAAAAATATTTTCGAAA